GCAACTTATCGAATATATAGTTAATTAAATACGCCTTCGCCCATTTAGTACTGCTAAATTGTAAATTTCGACATACTAAAACGCTGTTTTCTGACCATTAGAATTCTGTCAAGTTTTCCCCAAAGTCCAGGAAACGGCATTTCAGAGACTCTAAATTTAAAAATTTCCTCGGGCCTTCGGCCCTCGCTTTCAGCCCCCCACCCCCAATCGAAAACAGCTTCCTACGGCCCTGATATACGCTTCTGCCGTAGTGCGGATTGGTGCATTGTGTAGCCCAATACATACATTTGAATTGTGTTGCTGCAGAGCAGAATGAGCAGATGCCTTAGCTTTTATACCGATGCAATTTAAACGTTTTGAGAAAAAAATCCTGCATAGATGAATGAGTACATAAAAATATTGAGCACTAAAAATTCACACAATTTCCCTATCAGATATCTAATGGTCTACCCCTTACCACATATATCCTAGGGGGCCAATTTTGTATATTTTTGTGTTATTTGCATCTCCAAAACTCCTACTTTTGTCCTACTTTTCTACACATTTTCCTACTTTATTCCTACTTTTCCTAAAATTCTAGTCCTACTTCTGTCCTACTTTTCTACACAAGGATGCCAGAAAGCCTGGGATTGGTGTACAGTTATCCCGGTCAAAACAGGTTTTAATGTCTGGTACGACTCATAAACTGAGATTCCATGATATTACAAAAAGAATGAATTTAAGGAAAAATTCGTATGCATATGATTACGAATAACATTAGACATAGAATATACTTCAAAGACAGAAAATTTTGAATAATATTGTTATTTTCTTTACATTTTGACAATATTTTTTTAAACTAATTCGTCAGGCCCGCAACTAGACCCGCGGCTTGCAATCGTGTTAACATTTTTCGACCCGCACCCCGCATTTTTCGGCCCGCAATTTTTGGCCCGCAACCCGCAATTTTTGGCCCGCAGCCCGCAATTTTTGGCCCGCAGCCCGCAATTTTTGGCCCGCAGCCCGCAATTTTTGGCCCGCAGCCCGCAATTTTTGACCCGCAGCCCGCAATTTTTGGCCCGCAGCCCGCAATTTTTGGCCCGCAGCCCGCAGTTTCGGCCCGCAGCCCGCATTTTTCGGCCCGCAGCCCGCAGAATAGTTAAACTCCTTTTTACTATTCGCGCCAACAAATTCGCCTAGTGGAAAATGGGCTTTGAGTCTGGTTTACACAATCAAAGTTTCTGTGATCACGGTAGTAATTTTGCATGGGTAAATTCTATGTTTTGAAGGATTTGTAAGAAATATTTCATGGAACTGAAATAAACACTGTTTCAGTTCCCTCAAACATTTCTCACAAATCCTTCAAAACTTACAACATATAGGATGTGATCACAGAAAATTTCATTAGTGCATGTGAACCAAGCTTTAGACAAGCTAGGTCAGCATCAGCATCCGAAATATCGAGATCTGAAACTCTGGTCGTCCATAGGGTCATCCAATAGGAACTATACTAGAAACAACAACTGATCATCAGGAACTGTTTTCAGAAAACATGCATTCATTTTGTTACATTTCGCTAGTCTATATACTTAAAACAATTAAAGTTAAAATTTTGATATTTGCTAACTTATAGTATTGTGTTGTAGTAAGAATTCATAATATGCACCACTATTGCAAATATCAGTCGGAGAAGGTACGAAGGAGAAATTTAATTTTCCCCGTATAGTTTAGGAACCATGCACTGATCTAGTAGTCGTAGGGAATCACCCGAACGGAATATGTAATTCTTCGAAGCCTGATACGAGCAATACTGGTTAGTGAATCCTCATCCTGTGGAAAGTTCTTTGCCTTTCCACCCTTTTATTCTTATCAGAACACCACAGCTTGCACTCCATCAGAGGATAAAGAGAGCATGCGCTATAGAAACGTTGGTTGCAGACCGCTTCTAGCTGCGGATCTGCACCAGTATAATTACTTCACCGGCTCAAATATCAGTTTCCTCGGCAAGTCGAGCTATATGTCTTAAATTTGGGTTATAATTTTACCAAACGGGGTGTTTTGCAGAATTTGTTAGCCCTTATAATCCTTTTCGCGATACTGTGTTAAGTCCAAGTTGTTATGATCATAAACCATTATATAACTTTATTTCTGTTTAGTGTTAGTTTGTTAGCTTCCAATTATATACTGTTTTTTTACAAAAAAACCCTCAAAAACTGTTAAGCTATTTACAAGACAAGTATAAACCAGTGGTATAGGCGAGGACACCTCAAGAGATCAAAGCTGGTGTTAAGAAGCCATCCCATCTTGCAATTTAAAGTCCAGGTGAGCAAGAAATCGATATGATTTTAAGCTGAATATTGTTAATATCTTAATTTATACTGTTTGCTTACATTTTTAAACTTACTATTCACGATTTGTTGGTGCATATCATCTGCAAATAAATAATATTTTATTCGAGTACCTACGCCCAGATAAGAAGAACACGACTAGTCGTATCCTGTATAGATATACCTTAACTAGCAAATTGCCTGAAAAAAGTGCATGCCAAAGCGCTAACGTTCTTCAATTTCTTTAATTTTCATCCTGTTACTACAAAACTTCGCATAGACATAGAACATGTCATTCTTACAAATTATATGTTTTTTGTTTTTCGAGTTGCTACATTTTTGGCGGGAAAATGACGTCACAAACTTGCCGCTAAAAAATTAACAGTTAGCTATTATTAATTTTATGCACTTATTCGGTAGCCGACATTGAGAGAGTCTTAAAACTGAAGTCTGTTTCGAAATACAACCCATTCCTTGCGAAGATATCATGACTCAAATTTCTAAAAATCGGCCATTTTCTTCTCTTTTTAGTAACAAAATGGCCGATTTTTCGACATTTGTACCGGTATATCTTCGCGAGAAATAGTCGTATATAGAAACGGAGTTCAGTTTTCTGACTCTCTCAATGCCGTCTACCCAATAAGTGCATAAAATTAGCAATAGCTAACTGTTAATTTTTTAACGGCAAGTTTGTGACGTCATTTTCCCGCCAAAAATGTAGCAATTCGAAAAACAAAAAACATACGATTTGTAAGAAAGACATGTTCTATGTCTATGCGAAATTTTGTAGAAACAGGATGAAAATTAAAGAAATTGAAGCACGTTAGCGCTTTGGCATGCATTTTTGTCAGGCTTGACTTCAGGTTGATAGTGCAAATCAATCAAAAACAACTGACACCATTCTCCAGTATGGACAATTTGCTCTATCCTGTTGTCATCCGTATATTAGCGAGGTTCAGATTTGACTTCCACTATACCACTACATCTCACTGGCGTAGTACGCATGTGATTGGTTAACCGGCAGGGACGTAGCGAAGCATCTAAAATTGCATTTAATAAACATGAATCATCATGTGACGTTGCCTATCTGCCGCAAGAATATTTTTATCGTGTTTATCGGTGATGTCACCCCTAGTTTACACAAAGAACAGCGTCGATTCTGATCAGATCAGACACTATAGATGAATTGTCGAAACGTTGGCTCCTCAATGCAATTCGACTGGTCTTAGCATTCATCTACTAATAGGGAGTTTAAGATGCCGACAACGAACAACGGGTACGGAGTACGGTTGAAAGCTTGTTTTCGCATTGCTTCAACAAAGGCAGACAAAATTTACATATCCCCAGAGCATATTTTTCACCGTAGCGACCTTGGCTACAGCGTAAAAATCACATTCTTGTGTTGTAGAACAGAATCAAGAACATAGCACCGAAACTGACTACGCAACGTTGCAGGTCGGAGAGTATTTTTATAAAGAAATTATGAAAATTGAAAGATGAAACTTACCGAACACAAAACCATGGACATAAAACATATTTGGGATAAATTTGTTATAACAAGCATTTAGTATTTGCATACATATAACAAAAAATATTTCAACCGTAGTCGGTAGTTCGTCGTGAAGATCTTAAACTTCCTAATGACAACATTGACGAGCGAGAACATATATACATATATACATATATACATATATACATATATAGTTTGATTTTTATAAGCAAACTTGAAAACCCCGCTTAGAGAAACAAATTCTTTAACAAGCTGAACATATTTAAATAAGAATTGAAGTCTCTCTTCAATGGTATTTTATCCCACTGAGCTTTAGAAAGTTTAGGTCTCGCTTCGAAGCATGTTGACAATCACATGACGTCACATACAACATATTTTCATTCGTCTTATAGCTTTTCAAATATTCGTGACTTTACTGAAGTTTATGTTTGAGTATAAAGTACTGTGATTGTTGTAATCAACCTATATAATGTACGTACAGTACTACTGCTTGGTGATCTGAGTACAGTTCATTATCCGAATATAAATAGCTGGTGTTTGCTTGGTTTCCGTCGCTGTGGTAGATAATAATTATCTATCAAACTGACTGGTAAGTGCTTACTCATCATATAATGTAAACCTCTAACCTAACGTTTAATAGACTGATAGAATTGACTGAGGATTCAATATAATGATATTAGGCTACTGATGTAGCCTACTGATGTAGGGTACTGATGGTGACTAAAATCTATATATAGTTGAAATGTAGAATAAACTACAGGTACTTAAACATTCTGTACAAACTCTCGTACATTCATGCATGCACAGATCTTTCCGCTGACAATAAGTGATAAAATACCACTCATGAAGACCCGTAATTATATTAAGACCTAAAGTAATTATATAGGAATCTGTACTAAAACCAGTAATTCTGTTTTGTGATTGGCGCGGTTTAATCAAAGAATCTCCCCGTTGAACCAGAGCCTCCGCGACGTTTCAATTTATTATTTACTGTCGAAGGCTCTGGAATCCAGGGTACCCGAACGGTTGAGGGCAGTAAGATTTTTATTACATGGCATTGTACGTTTGTAAAAAAATTGGGAAAATGGAAAGCAAAGTACAAAGTCACATTTGCAAAAACATTTTCAAAAGAAAACAATTGTAAAAAAAGTTGTCTTGATTTATAGTGAAACTACTCTACAGCACTTTTTGTAAAATATTATAACAGACATGGGCGTACGGGAAGGAAAAAATTAGGGGGGCGGAAAGAAATTTGCCCGACTTTTTCGGGCAACTTTCCAAAATTGTTGTCGACGGGAGGCAGGAGTGATTAAAATTGACAGAATTTCCCACAAAATTGACAGAATTTGTCCCATTTATTTTTATAATAAGCCAATATTGCCCGACTGTGAAGCGAATATTGCCCGACTGGCTTTGTTTGCCCAACAAACGGGGGGGTGGTGGCTGCCGCCCCCTCCGCCCCCCCCCGTCCGGTACGCCCATGATAACAGAGTTTTGGATAGTATTTCAAGAAAAAGACGAGGTATATATTTGGTCATTAATCAACGACAGCAAAATTAATATGAAAACAATAAAATAAATAAACAGCATGGACAAGAATGTCTTTAGTTCGTTTGTTTTTAGTTTTAACTAACAAAAACAAAAATTTCCAGGAAAAAACTATAAATCTGTGACTCCTTAAGTTGTATTTTTGTTTTAGATAGTGTTAAATTCCTTCAGGCCATCTGCAAATAAAATTTGCAGCAGGTCTTCACATGTTCAAAACACAACTATTATCGATCGCTTTAATGTTAAAATGTAATACGATTTTCACTAACAAAAATTTGTTAATGTAATTCGACTGTCACTAACAAAAAGTAGTGAGAAAGTTCTTTAACCGCGGCATAGTCTATCAAGGTATGGTGGTCTGGCAACTAAACATAAGTAATTGTTTGATGTTTTTGTCTGAGTTTGTTAATCTGTGCATCGTCAGGGTGATTGAACTCATTGTATTTTCGTATAATAAAGTAACCGTCCAATAGGGGTAGCTGAGATGAAACGTGCAACCAGGATAAATAATATCGAATGAGGTTGAGACATATAGTATATCATTTCACGTCCTACAAGAGCAGATACTGGTCCAGCTAGTCCTCGTGCGCCGAGTGGTAGTTACTCTTACCTAATGGTAGAGTTTGACGGGCTCTGAGCTACACGGCTGTTGTCTCTTTCTCGACTCAGAAACGTGCAGCGTTTTCTAGTCGAAAAGAAGATGTGGGGCTTGAGGTTTTGTTACAAGGTCTTGAATATGTAAAACCCGGTACAGGTCTTACATTTGAATGTAAGTCCCATACCAGGTCTTATATTTTCAGCCCAGCCTTCAGAACCTGGTCTTTAGTCGGAAACCAGAACCAACCAAGAAGAATAGAAAATGGGTGTGGTAAGTTTATAAAAAGGATTTGTGCACGGCTAGGTACAGTCCAACATCAAACAAAGGTCTTCTATTTTCTAGCTTTGAAGTTCGCCGGGCTTCCAGAGCATCATATCTCGACAGGCTATGACCACAGCAGTTGCTTCTTAATTTTCTCTATTTTATGTTTATTTTTCTTCGCTTTGAATAGTTTGAAGAATTTCAGACATTTTTGCCGTTTGAAACTCGGCTCTCGTCGCAGCTTCATAGGGCAATAAAATTTGCCGTGGGCAATACGGGAAAAACCCGCCTCATTAGCGGCCAATCAAACTACGCGATTCATCAAAACAGATGCTTGCCATATAATATATTCTCTGCGATTTTAAATTACCGGAAACTAACCCTTACACCTTAATCTCGACATAGTGATCTCGAGCACCTGTATGATGGCACCTGTCAATTAGTACGCTTATATTTAGTTCTAAATTATGCTTGAGTCACCTAATAGTTTTCTCGGTCTTTAACTGTCCCTTAATCTCGACATTGTACCAGCCAGTAAATCAAAAGCTTTGCCAACTATATCTTAAATGATTTAGCAGTGTCTCTCATTAACATTCGGTACACGTCAGCATGTACATTCTACGCATGTTAGCTCATCTTAACTTTCAATTTGTCACCCCAATTTCTGATCGTGATGCCTAGAAAATGATTAAATCATAGACAAGCATGCACTGTTATTTTCGGGGTGTTATTTTAACACCACTTTGAAGGAATTCTACAGGGGTAATACGGGAGTTAAAAATTTGAGCTCTTTTAACTCCATAACTGGAGTTAAAATAATACCCTTTGAGGGGTTACAGGCATTCGCAAGCTAATCAGTATTCAAAAGTAACACCACGTAAGGGGGGTTAGTGAATCTAACTCCATTTGAGGGGTTACTGGCGTCAAGAGCAAGTCTCACATGATTACATATTGATGGCGTTCAAGTTGATATTTTATAAACAGATCTGTGAATTTTCCTGTTATATATGAGGAATGAAAGCTTTAAGAATCAAATTATGGATGAAGAACATTTCGAAGGTTAGTTTATCACTTTATCTACCGGTTGTTTGTAGCCCATTTAGCTTAAACGGCGGATATAAGTCAAATTTTCATTTGTTTTGTGAATAACTTTTTAAACCTTAAAAATGTTGTTGTACGTAAGTGTTCTTTTCAGATTGAAAAATATTTTGATTGTTCCAATGAATACACAGACTTGCTTAATTGATATTCTGGACTTATCCACCGTTTTATAGACTAAACGCGCTGCGAACAACCGACCCCTGGGGCAGTGCTCTCACTTCTAAGGATTTATCCTTAGAAACAGGAATTTTGCAAGTTTTAAGGAATTATCTAAGGAATTCCATTTTTTAAGGATTTTTTTAAGGAATTTTGAGATTTAGACATTTAGACAAAGATATTGGCTCGAGTCAAAGTATTCATGCAATGAATGGTAATATTCTTCTTAGTTTTTGAAACCGTCTATAAAAGATATACGCAATTGAAAATCAGATTAATCGAAGACAGATTCAAAGTGTTCTAGATAGCGCTAATAATTATTTTAACTAAATCAGGATCAAACTTATTGTCGGTGAAATAAGTAACAAGGCGGGCCATGTTGCCAAATCCGAAATCGCGTCTGGTGTGGGGGCCTTTATAATAATATAGAATTATAGTGTTCCTACGATAACATTAACAAAACATTAACAAAACTCAAAGAGTCAAACTAGAAAAGTGTTTATGGAAAGATCCGCGATGTTACTGGCTTGATAATTGCAGCATGTTCCGTTGGTTGGCTACGCTATCCGTCGCATTGCTTTTGACAGCCCTTAGAAGAGTCAAAAGCTCGGGATTTGTCTTCAAATCATGAGCACGACAAGACTCCGCTCTGAGGCCTTCTTTGGTATGAAGAAGTCCGACAAGACTTTCTCTCTTTAAAGAGTTTCTTGTGTCAGTTTTGACCAGCTTTAAAAGACTAAATAGCCTTTCTACTGCAGCATTTGACGAAGGTATGGACATGATGCAACCAATGACTTTCATTAAATTAGCGTACTTCAATTTCCCATCGAACGTGCGCGTACTTAAACGATTCTGCCAAAATTGCAATGATGATTCATCTTTATTTATCTCTGAAGATTCTTCCAGCGCCTGTTTTCGCCATTCTGCATCAACTAGCATTTTATCTGCGACACCAGTTAAATATGGAAATTTAACGAAAAGCTCCTGGAGAGATGGAGGGCAGCACTTCACAGCATTCTCAGGAAGAACAAACTCAACAAGTTTATAAGCTGAATCACTGAGGTCAAAACGCGATCTAATTTGCTTTACTGCTTCCATCATGAATTCCAGACATGTCATCTTTACACTTTTAACAGCTCGGGGATCTTGATCGATTTCATGGCATTCATGCAACGTCGTTGTTGCAAGTATTCCAACGTAGACTTGGTCAACATGAACATTGTTGATTGGGTCATCGAGAGGCACAGTGAATGGATCACAGCTCTTGACAACATCAATTTTCATGAAATCTGACAGGATGCATTTCAGCAGCTTATGTACTTCGTCGCGAACATGATGAAGGACAGGATCGGATGATTGGAATAATGTGTTGAAGTCGTTTAGGCGGTGCAATTGGAAACTTAGGAACTCTAACTGCGCTTTCAGATACTTGTTTGAAAGACCTTTAAGTATAGACTCGGTCGTATATGAAGGATCTTTCTTCTCATTTACCACGGATGTAAAATAAAGGCGGAGAGCATCCCACTGTTCGAGGACCCTTCTAACGCACGATTCCAAAGATAACCATCTTGTTTGACCAATTCCCAGAAGCTTGTGTGGCTTAGTTTCAACAAATTCTTGAAACTCGTGGAATTCGTGCTGTCTCAGACTCGATCTGTTGAAGTAAGAATAAATATTCCTACACAGATCTTCCAGCGTCGTTGACATTTTAAGACAAGCATAAGATGCGCAAAGGTGAATCATGTGGCAACTACATTTCACAGCCAAAACATAAGGGGCATCTTTCTTCAGCAGCGAGACAACACTTTGGTGCTCACCGAACATTACATTCGTCGTGTCCGATGAATATCCAATAATATTCTTGATAGGAATCTTCTTTTCTTCAAACGAACTTTTGATTGCGTTGTAAAGGCCGACTGCAGTCGCTGTTTCTACTTCCACCATGTCGAAAAACCGTGTCACTGGCTGCACAGTTAGTTCATCAAAGTAAACGACACATATTCCCAACTGTTTTTCCGTGGAAACGTCTGTAGTTTCATCAGGGATTATGCTGAAGTAGGTGTCGCGTAGTATCTGCACAAGTTCCTTCGAAAAATACAGTCCAAGTCCTTGTCGCAAAATATTGGTACATCGGGTTGTTGACAAGTGAATGCCCTTCAATACTTCGACCTCTTTGCTATTAACAGGTGCCGTGGACTTAAACAAACTTACCAACGGACCAATGAGACTTAACGGAAGGTTGTGCTCTGCAAGAAAAGCACATACTCGGACTTCGAATGTTTCCTTAAACAAGCTGTTCTCCTCTTGCCGTCGAAAACATTGGACAAGATTTCCCTGTTGTTGGACAGGCTGTCGAGATTTCATTGCCTTCTTGTGAATTTCGGTTTTGGAATGTCTAAGAAGAGACGATTTCAAGCACGAAACTGGTTTTTGGCATGCTCTACATGTGGCACTTGACTTTCCAGGAGAAGGGCGAACTAACCAATCTTTGAAGTTTGGATCTTGCAACCACTTGTCTCTAAACTGTTGAACATATCGCTTGTTCTGGACCTGCTTCGGCTTCGAATTTGCTGTTGGAAGTTGTAGTGATTCGCAGTTGTCTGGCCCGTAGTCTGATAAAGCCTCAGAGTGCTCAGACTCATTCGATGATTCGTCGCTCATGCTGTCAGTATCGCATCTGATCATTTTAATTTTGAGTCTTTTAGAAACAACTGTGAACTGGTGCTGACAACGACAACCTCATATTACTTGACATCAATATCAGTCATCATGTTCTGCAAAAAGGCGTATAAAAAATAACAAACATCGCTTGCTCGACCGCAATTTTTAATTTTGTTTATGGATGTGTCTAGCCAATGTGTCTAGACTACTGTCTAGTGTCTACAGCATACATGTAACAACATTACAACAATGCCGCTACAGTGTCAGCGGTATAAAATCGTACTTCCAGGGATAATTGGGGATAAACAAGTTATTTAAGGAATTTTGGGAAATTCTAAGGAATTTCGGAGCTCTTGCTGAGGAATTCCAAAATTTGGTTGTGAGAGCACTGGTGTTGTCTATACCCCCTGCCTATACGGAGAAGTAGATGCGCAAGAGAGACACGCGCGTAGTCCCGCATAATATATTTGCCAAAATTTAAATTTAATTTTGATCACAAAGTCACGTGACCGGGCAGATACATCTACATTTTAATATGACTCGATCATAAATATAAAATTTTATGGTTTTTTAGTATACTATTTTTTCTCTACTATTTATTCTTATCTTTAACAACTTACCTAATATGGATAAATAGTTTGAAAATATTTCATTTGACTTACGATGGCTGACATATTTCGTTCAGCATTCGGTATTTTTTCGGGCAACAAAACTGACAGTGATTTTGTTGGCCAACGTGTAGACATTGCATCCACTCAACTTCGGGTGAAGAAACTGATAGCAGAAGGTGAGAGAATACACTTTGTATATGTCTAGTGCTTTTCCTGCTTCTTCATTATAAAAATCTTCGTTTTTCTGCCATTTAAATTGCGATGATGTGAGTATATTTACATGTGTAGGTGCTTATGGCTTCGTGTTTGTTGCTCAAGATGTTTCTTCCGGAAAGGAATATGCTTTAAAGGTAAATATTTGACAGAAAAATCATTGATTTGTTTTGAACTGTCATAATTTAATCATGTATTTTATGTCCAGCGACTGATGGCAGCAGACGACGCAGCAAACAAAGCAATTATTCAAGAAATAACATTTATGGTATCCTTTTGCATTCAGCCCTACTTTATTCTTTTACTCTGTCTAATGCCAGATGATTTTACTCGTCAAGAGTGCTGGTGCTCAATGGGTTGTTTCAGAAAAGATCCGCAGGAGGCACTTTCCCCCCGCGCCACCAGCTCGAAAGGGGGCTGCAAAAGCAACCAACTGCAGAGTTGGGCACTTTTCGACGAGATCTCGGGTGTGCAAATGTTAGAAAATCGAAGTGCAGGTGTGCAAAACAGTTCCCAAGTGCGCATCAAGATGCAGTCAAGGGCACAAAACTAGCCAGATACATGTTAAAAACAATGAAAATTGGAGATTTGAGGGCAGATTAAATTACAAAACTTGTTATAAAGTACATCCCAGGTGCGCTGAAATTTATGCCTAAAAAAATATCGAGTGCGACGTTGACCAACTCTGCAGTCTGGCAAAGCAATATGTCATATAGTGTAATATATTAATTGTAAAACATCACTTCTCTCCTTCTACAATTATGACACCATGGAGGCTCTCTTGGAAAGTTTTGCCCCATGCAACCTCTCCGTAGCTCTGACACTACGTATGGGTAAATCATATATGCACATTATTCCTTAATCACTACGTCAGAAACGTCTCCGTGGTCATCCCAACATTGTTCAGTTTCTGAACGCTGCTTCAATCGGTGCAGAAGAATCCGACAATGGCATGGCTGAGTTTTTAATTTTAACAGAATTGTGTACAGGTACTGTATGGGAAACTTTTTAGACCGAAATAAATGAAGATAGCTCTGTTGATACTAAAACACTTTCAAGACTGCTATTACCATTTTAAACTGCTTTCCAAGGATCTGGCCATTACACTGTGTTATTGATCTGTATTATTGATCCATTATTACTACCGAAGAAAACCTAACCTGAACTAACTTTATATGCACTGGATGTTATCAGTTTTGTCTATACCGGTTCTCCCTTAGTGAATATCATCCCATATTGGTCTAGTATTGCTACAGGAGGAAATAGGTTTATGTGAAGGAAAGCCAGTTTGCTTAATCCTAGGTTAACAAAATTTTCAAAGCAATCTTCCCGACAGCATGCTTATAAACATGCAAATATTTTCCTGAAATCTTGTCTGATCATCAACAGAAGTTTTCTTCTCTGAAAATTTGAAATAAACAGATGTGCACAAATACACAAACCAACACAGCAGCATTTAACCCATGGTTAGTGCTAATTCAGTTTTGAGCAGCAAGTCCCTGTGGCAGGGTCTCAGTATCCAACTTAACCTGTGATCAGGCCTAAAAATTTCGGTTGTAAATCTGATTGGTCTATGAGATAAAAGATTTTTTAATCTGTCATTTGATTGGTTGGTGCTAATTAGATTATATTATTGTTGATGATATATTTTATAGTGATCACAACTATAATTAGATGGTTGCTGTCGTTGTGTGAAATTTAAATTTCTCCAGCAACATTTTGATTGGATACTAAATATAAACTAATGTTTGTGTCAGGCTATATTTGTAAAATAGATCTCGGGTACCAGGATTCAAAGTTTAGTATCCCCCCCTGAGAATACAGTGTCCCACTTCTGGCCCACTGACCCATAAATTATACCCTGTCCCATCCAAATAAGTTCCTTTACTCTCACTGTTACAAATTACAATAACAGGAGACTCAACAGTCAACAACTAAACTATAAAATGCACATAATCTTTCAACAAACTTCTATATGCTAGTCCTGAGCAATGAGGAAAGACTGGTGGCAAACTGATAGTATTCAAAAGCTACCAGTCCTGAGCCTGTCAAAGGTGTTTGTATTGAAATTTTCTTAGTATCCAGTCGAGATACAAGTCATTCGCAGTTTGGTATCCAAAACCAAATTTTTGGTATCCCGTGGATATTGGGATAGCGCAAACTTCAGACTCTGCCTGCGGTGTTTGGTGAAAACATTCTTCTCACATGTGACTGAGATGAAATCATAATGAGACAACTGCATATTGCAGCTATCAAACACAGAGGGACATGCTCTAACAACTGTGCTGTTTCCAACATCATTTTCTCGTCCTATTTTAGGAGGTCAGTTAATAAAGTGGTTCAATGATCGTCAAGGAAAGAGGATACCTGCCACCCAAATTCTTAGAATATTTCATCAAATATGTCGAGCTGTTGCCCATATGCACAAGCAAAGTCCACCCATTATTCACCGCGACCTCAAGGTAGTCATCAGATAGCTTCACTTACTATGTATTTGCAAATAAATTATTACTGTTGTGCAGTAAAACCGCTTCAAATACTGTACTGGTATGTTATAAAACTCCGGTGGAACGAGGAGAGAGTTGGCAGTCGCACATTGTTATGGGGGGCATTTCAAGCACTAGATTGACAAGTACTAGATTGACAAAGCATTAAGAACTGGGCAGTTCAAGGACTAGATTGAGTAGCGTGTTGTGTCTTTGTTACCGTAGTTTCGATTGTCGAACGTATTTTTAAAAAAATTCGGTTCACTCAGTTTTGTAGAAACCCCCTCACTCTCCAAGCAATGCTATCATTTCTGGCTTGGTTGATGAGGAGGTATCGTCCAGAGTCACATCTGTAAAGCTCATGCTATATATATTGATATACCTCATGAAGTATACAATGTGATATTTCTTTGAAAAGGCATATGACCTGCTATTGTATGTTTGCAATAATAACAAAGTAAAGATACAATGCCAAGTTAGTGCAGCGACACATTGGCTCGCCTCTGTGAAGACAAATTCATTGTCGGAGGAACATACAGATCAGATTGGTCTATGGTCCATGCAGCAATTAACCTATTAATAACAACCCTTCCCTTTAAAGAGCAAGATCTTGAGATGCTAAACGGAGTAAAATAAATACTTAAGGACGAATTGTGCCAGAATGGGTTCCTATTTACAATAATGTTCTTTTGCACATCTTTTAGATTGAGAATTTATTATTAAGCTCCCGTGGTCAGATCAAACTGTGTGATTTTGGTAGTGCTACAACAAAGTCTTTATATCCGAGTGATTCCTGGACGTCAGTTGAAAGAAGTTTGCTGGAAGATGAGGTGAGAGCAAGTAATCACGAGGCAGACTATCAGGCGCTCATTACACATTAAGAAATAATAAACTGAGTAAAATACAAGCAAAACTCACACAGACACTGGACGAGTTGAGCAAAGTGACCCTTATTAACTCCACCATTAACTCCACCAGTGCACTCTAGTTGGAGAGGTGTCTGTTTTATAAAGGTGACTGTAAATCTTGCTTTCTGTTTGGTCATGATGGTGGCGACCATCTCAAAGTAGTTGAAGCTATATTCCATGAACATTTTTAGTTGATTTCAAGCAAGTCCTCGGTACTTGATCTAAATTTACAGCAATTTGCTCCCTGGTGTTACCGAGTTTAGACAAAGTTTTAATTAAAACAAATCAAAGGTAAAACCGGTCTTTAGAAACACAGTCCAACTTATAAGACGATACTAAATATCCTGACATGCATGTCTAACGGATAGTCTCAAAACAAATGATTGTCTACTCTTATTTCTTTTCTTTTTATTTCAGATGCAGCGGAACACAACGCCAATGTACAGAGCACCTGAAATGGTTGATCTTTACAGCAATTATCCCATTACAGTGAAATCTGATATCTGGGTGAGTGCATCTGATCAGGACGATTTCTCAGTCTCTGCAAGGAACCCTTTCTTATAATCATCATGCATAGATATTTGCGAAACGTACGTTAAAAAAAATGAATGATAATTGACACAAGATTTTCACGTCTTACGTACAATGCCTGACAAGCCATAACAAGTGCTGCTCCAAATCATATTAGATTTCTTCTCAAACATGAAGCTTCTGAAACTATTGAATGGAATGTGACCAGTGGTTATTCGTCCGACACCAGATATCAATATAATGACGCTATTCGTCCGACCGAACAATTTTTCTCATACCAAATAGTCAATAGTCGTATGCGTTCTCCCTGGGTTCGAACCAAGGAGTGGAATTATACACAGGAATATTCTGACTTAATGTGTACAGGTGGCCTGATTGGTTAGGATGAGGGCTGGTTAGGGTATATTGTCAGCGTAACGGCGCTAGGTGTGAGCAAGGTTCTGGTGAATTTATTGTCTTTAGAAAACAGTGATAATGTTGTATGTACGCACGCGTAATATTGTGTCAGATGAATAGCACATTGGGACCCACTGCGCAAATTGAAATATTAATAACACACGGCAAGTGTTTTTTACAATAATTAGGAGGTTGTTTTGACCGTCGTTGCTGTGTCGCTTGCAAAGGTTGCATGGTTAAGGTCCCTACTGTCTTTAAGCTTCTGCCGTGTTGAGCAGCGAATGCTTTGTCTGACTAAAAAATTAATAGCATGATGTCTTAGATCTTGACAATTTTTATTTTTTATGTTCTCTTTTCAGGCGTTGGGTTGTTTATTGTATATGTTATGTTATATGGAACATCCGTTTGAAGATGGCGCTAAATTGAGAATATTGAATGCCAAGTTCACCTTGCCTGAATTTGATAAAGAATATGACATTTTTCATAGCTTAATATGTACGTATTTTGTGTTTAACTTCCTTGACCTGTATAGTTCGAAATTATGTGTTAAACTATCAGTGAATGTGAAATAGTCTTCACGGCGGGGGTGATTTGCAGAACGCGACTTCTGTGTCCTAACCCCGTAAAAGCTGAGCGAAAGTACCCTAACACTTTCGGACAGCTTTTACGTATCACCGCTGAGCGAAAGTACAGAAGTCGCGTTCTGCATTCTGCAAATTACCCCCGCCCTAGTCTTCACATTACCCCCGCCCTAGCCTTCACATTACCCCCGCCCTAGTCTTCACATTACCCCCGCCCTAGCCTTCGCTTGAAATGTTGAAGTTCTCGTCTATTAATCCGCAGCTTTGTCACATTTCTATAATTTCTTGTTCAGGTAAAATGTTGCAAGCAGATCCAACAAAGCGTCCTGAGATTTCCGAAGTTGTGTCAGACCTAGAATCAATAGCATTGTCTAGATATGTTGAGCTTAAAGGGTCAATAGTAAGTACATCTGTATCACTGAGCTTTTTCCACTTCGCTTTTTGTTACGGAACGTATGGTTGCAGTAAGATGAATTGTTTGTTATTTAATATAATGTACATGAAGAAATGACTTCAGTTCAATCGAAATTCATAGCCAAAAAAATAAATTCCGTATAAAAAAAGAAATACATGGCATGCAAGCGCCAAAAACAAAAAACGCTTTTGCTATTCAAAGGAGTGAGTAAATTATTTATATCATAAAGTAGCTTCTACATATTTTTTCATGTGTATTAATAAGCAATAGTATGGTTTCTCGTCCAATTTGGAAAAACAAGCACTCGTGAGTTTTTATCCATACAGTACTTCTTTTTAACCATACAGTACTTCATGTTATTTATAGAAATTTAGGCATCCCAGAGCGGAGATCAGTGGAACATTTTACAATGTGTTCACTCCATGAAAATCAAAATTCATGACATTTGTGCAGGGGCCAGTTGTTCCATAGCCGGGTAGCTTCATTATAGGTTTAAAAGTGTAAAACTTCGAAGCAAATTTCCAACAGCTTGCATGTATATATAAACTTAAATATTGATCCAGAAATCTTTTCTGCATTAATAAAAGTTTTAAAGTTTTTTTCTAAAATTGATTTAGAACAAACCGACGTGTAGAACCCCGAAGGTTAAACGAGGGTTAGCGCTAATACAGCTTTGAACAACCGGCCCCATGCAGATTCATATAACCATGATGTATTTGTATATTTTACTTTAGTTTCAAGAAGAAGAACCAATGATGTCCACAAGTCAAGATAATACAGGTATTAAACCCAGGACACACATTGTTACCGCTTTAAAAATCTCATTTAGAAAACAAAAACAGTTTTGCTTTGGTTTCCACCACAATGTTGCAAAGCGTGAGGAAACGGGAAACATAATAAGCGGGCGTCTGCCAGAGCTCCGGTGAGTGCTACGAGGTGTACCGCTGGTTTCTTTGTAATTCTCTCCTTCCTTCACTTGTAAGTGTCCGTAGAACGCGTCCCTCCCCACAGCTGCCTACTTTATAAACACAGCCATGTACTCGGAATAATTCTGAAAGCCCTGGGAGGAATCATCAAAATTTGTAAATGTTTTTGCAACAATATTTCCTAGTTTTCTGCGGGCTTACGTCTAGAGATTTGCATTTACCCAGGGATAGTACATTTCCTGCCAAGCCTGTTCTTTGATGATGTGATCAAATGTTGTTTCAGATCAAGCTGGTGGCAGCAGTGCCGTGTTTGGTGGAGTTGTTAAAGGTGCAGGAACGTTCTTCTCCAATATTAAAGACATGTCAAACAAAGTAGTGCAATCTGTGGCTGGGTAAGATCAATGCTCCATTCTATTTCTTGGATTAACTGTAAGCTACAGAGCAAGGTGTCATTTTCACCACGTGTGAACGCACTATTCCATTACAACCTCCAAATCAATCCTCAGAATGTTAAGAATTGCATTACAGAATGCAGGAAATGGCATTTCCGAGATAGTACAGTAGATTTTGGAATTTTGGGTGGGGCACGCTTGTCGATCCGATATTGTACTCATCGACATCAGGCTGGTTTACACTGTGAACGTTTCTGTGATCACAGTAGGAATTTTGCATTTATAGGTAAATTGTAAGTTTTGAAGGATTTGTAAGAAATGTTTGAGGCGACTGAGTCAGTGTTAAACATTGAGACAATTCCCTCAAACATTTTTTACAAATCTTTCAAAACTTAGAATTTACCCATGCAAAATTCCTACTGTGATCACAGAAACTTTGATAGTGTAAACTAGCCTTAATTTTAAGGCACTGCAATATTTATTCCTGACCAATTAATTTTAGTTCTTTAGCACTTAACAACTTTAGTCAATCACGCTCACAGTAACCCGGCCAAACAAGTCTAGTGCTCTTATCGCCATAAATAAAGCACAATAACAGGTTTAGCTATTTCGTTTGTTGCATATGCGAGGAACGAGGGCACTGCAGGATTGTCTAAGTTGTCTTCCAACATATTTTACTGTAGATACGTGAAAAGCGATCTGGATATTTCTTATGTAACATCAAGAGTATTGGGTAAGTTCTACATACGAAATTTAGCGTGTACATGATGGTTTTTACAATCGACTTTTCATCGATACCAATGAATCGTGGTCCAGTCATGGTATATCAAACTTCCGTCGTGCGACGATACCATGCATGCGCGAAATTTATTGTCGTTTAATTGTTGGGCAATTTAATAAGTAACAGTTTGCTGTAAAGTCATAAATTTTGTTTGCTTTTATTTATTATTTTCGTATTTTTTCTGGTTTAGTTCAGTTAATAGTTGCGGTACTATTTGTTTTTCTGTAAGCAAAGGAACATTCATTTTGGTCTATATGATTAACACCACTTAAAATCCTGGAAATACCACAATGCATCACGATTTCAACATGCGATCGCTATTGATGAACAAATCAATGTACCCTTCGTTTTCTTGATCGTTATTTTGGCCTTTAATAGAGCCTTTTTGTATGTTTTAACGGCGAGAAATTACGGTGACAAAGAACCTGGGAATCAGGCTGATAGATACTGTAAAGAACCTTTATATGTCACCAGCAACGAGATAAAGGGCTGTAAACCCAAGATCTCAAGTCACGACAGTGAGGCTTTATAGCTAAGATGATATTCTTTCCAAAAGGATGTATTTTACTTGGCTGTATAACACAATACATGCATTAATTATGAATTATTTTATTCTTTCATAGTGATGCCAATACCTGGAGAAGGCATTGAATCAACGTATAAAAATAGTGTGGATGATGTTCAAATATTTCTTGATACAAAACATCCATCAAAATTCGCTGTCGTTAATTTGTCACAAAGACCAGCTAAACTGAAAGGCAAGGTAAAGTGACTTCATAACTTTGGAATATAATTCTATTACAACTACACAGCCAGAAACGCGCAAGTCGGAACAGATCTGCAACAGATCTGTTAAATCCTGTTGTCAACAAGCCGATATCTGGATGCGTTCGCTCGCCTTGTACCTGTCTGTTCTGACAGACCTGCAACGGCCTGTCAACAGGTCTGTTACAAGCTGTTGTGACAGAGCTGCTGCAATGCTGTTTTCAACAGGTCTGTTAAAAGCTGTTGTGACAGAGCTGCAGCAATGCTGTTTTCAACAGGCCTGTCGCAAGTTGTTGACACAGAGCTGAAGCAATGCTGTTTTCAACAACTTGCGACAGACCTGTTGCAAACCGAGGAAAGCGCCTTATGAAGCTTGTCTATCCACTATTTTGAACAAAAAACGGCCAAACAGGTTGCCATATTTCGGTTGTAGTGTTTCGTGAAATAGAAGTTTGAAATATAAAGTTTTATAAACAAACTTGCGAGATAATTTTTATATATGAATATAAAGTTTATAAACAAACTTGCGAGATGATTTTTATATATGAATATAAAGTTTTATGAACAAACTTGCGAGATAATTTTTGAGCAAAACAGCCGAAAAAATACGACAAATTCAAGAAAGGTTCTTATCGTAAACAATTTTCAAAATTATTTGTCTTGAAGTACGACCGAAATATGACCACCTACTTGCATATTTTTCTTCAAAACAGTACATACCATAAACACAAAGCTTCAATAAGGCGTCTTCCTCGCTCGCAGATTTCACTTGAAATTGGAAAGAAATTATATAACGAATTTCATGTTCATATCAGCAATGACGAACATTGCAGTGAACACTCGGTTGTTCATGTATTGTTCATTTCTTAAGCTCTAGATCCTGTATTCTCATTGCTACAGTTTCTTCAAAAATCAAAACAGCTTTGAACTTGTTTGATTTTGTTTGAGGCAGTTGTTGAAATTTTGTTTGGCTCAAAATTCAAAAACAACTAAACATGATTATGTGATTGATATGTTTGTAATATTTCGCCCAATTGCAACGAGGAATGATGACGTGTGCACACGCGTTTATCCAATCAGATTAAAGAAATATAGCGATAGCACACGTCAGCAAATTGGAATTTGGATTTTGGAAATCGGAACTTTTTAAAAAAAAAATAAAACAGCGGCTTTTGCATTTTATAATAATCAGAGAATAGATACTATGGACTATAATCTCTCCTATGTGATTTAATATCGCCACCAATGACAATGATTAAATGAGAAAGTGAAGCCGGAAGTGTCCATTTCGTGCGATTTTATATCTCTTTACTCACATTTTCGATTTGTTTCCCTACAACAGGCTTGTTGAAACTGGTTGTGACAGGACAAAAATTGTTTGTTGTGGACAGGTTTGTCGCAGGTCTGATAACAAGCTTGCTGCAGACTTGACAAAAACAACTCGCGACAGGTCTGTTGGAACAGGTTGTAACAGACCTGTTGATTTCAACAGACTTGCTGCAAATTGTTCTATCAGACCTGTTGTCTCTTGTTAGTAACAGGTTTGTAGCGGGTTGTTTCAACAAGTCGCTACGGCTCTGTTGTCAACAGCTTGCGACAGACCTGTTACCGCAAGCCTGTTACCGCCTGACGAAACCAACAGACCTGTCGCGACTTGTTGACAACTTGCCGCAAGCCGGTAAAATCAACAGCTTGCGACAGGCCTGTGAGATTTCTGGCTGTGTAGTACTGGTAAACATGCATCATTGGTAGTAAAAGCCTCACTTGCATTAGTTCAAAGGGCAAACCTGCATGTACAAAAATTTGAAAATAGTGTAAGCATTCCTGTGATCAATCCATTGGATAAAAGTATGATAAACACCTCACCTTTTTTAACCTAATCAAATCATATTCTAACTTGTAACGAAGGCCTGAACCTTATATAAATAATATCCAGCATTGGGCGGCCAGGTCTACCATAAAATGAAGTAAAAACTCAGTATCTGGCCAGATATGATATCCATTGCATCCCTAGTTATTTGTTATGTTTCATTGTTTTAAAATTCCAACTTTACTTAATTACTTGTTAAGGAGAGAGTGTTGGATATATGTCTATGAGATGACTGTATATTCTTGGTATTCAATTTTCTTATTTAATTAATTAAATATATGCACCATTTGTACCCTTTTATAGTTAACCCTCAGATGTATAATGGCTTCCCTTCCACATGCACTGGGAGACAGACAGACCCACCAAAACAAGACAGGTAAGCTTTTTTTGCGATTCTTCATGCAAGTTTACTAACATTTTTCTTTGTAATGTAGGTTTGAGACCCATTGCACCCTGCTTTATTATTTTACTCTCTCTAACGCCATACAATTTACTTGTCAAGGGGAGAGCTCTGGTGCTTAATGAGTTAAGCATTCAGGGGTTTCAGAATAAGCTGGACGCCGCCGGCTACTTGAACTTGTGCCGCCGGCTACTTTTCATCTGGTCACAGGAAAAATTTTATATACAAAGGTATAAGTGAACTAACACAATGCTTGTTATGTTCCATTTGGGGTTCAAGCAAAACATCACTTATTTTGGAAGATCAATAATACATAGTACCAAACATAGCTTGCTTTCTTAAGTTGCTGTTGAAGAAGCGATAGTATAAAATTCTTTGTTTTCTCGTCGCCATCTTGAATTTCGTAGCAAATGGTCAGCGACTCTGAATCTTCCTGAACAGGAAGATGACTCCGATTGACTCTGACGAATTTGACAGTGAGCCAGAGAACGAGTCAGATTCAGAGCTACTTTGGTAAATGTTTTTCAAGTGACTAATTCTTTGACAGTGAATTAATAATAATAAAGTGATGAAGTAAAGTTCATTACGTACATAAGTATAGCATCATTTAATTAATGATTTTGAACTCATAAATTAATACTAATAGTGTACATTGTCATTATGGTCATGCAGCTGTACTAGTAAACTACTAGTAGCACATTAAAGTGCATTGTCACTTACAAGTATAAATGCAAATGAAATGACATCTAAATCTAACATGTTAACAGTTGTACTTTGTCTTTTTACTTATTCTATATTATTTGATTGTTATCAACTATCAGTCACAGCCGGCTAGTATTTTGGTACAGCTGCCTACTTTTTTGGTACAGCCACCTACTTCAAATCATTCTGAAACCCCTGAGCATTATTTATATTTTTAAACTCTGTAATGCAATGCCATTGTGAACCAATTGAACCATACTGTACCATACTATTAGCATTAATGGTACCAAGATGTGATGGTCTTAACTCTTTAATAATTCAACACACAAGTGGCTGTCGAAACATTAAATTATAACTGTATGAAGCCACCTGTAAATGATTTCTTGAACTATAACATGTTCCTAGTTTGTAGCATTCAGCTTTGTTATCCATACAATTGCCTGTATACAGTAGTGCTTTAATTTGCAAAACTGTCCATTTTTGAGTAACTATATGCAGGGGTGTGGTTTAGTTATTAGTTATATATAGTGTATAGTAGTTTGATTAATTAAATTTAATTTACCACGTCTAACCCCAGGCCGAGAGCAAGTGTCATTTGTATATTCAAGTTTGATTCAATATAAAAAGAGAATTAATTTTAAACCTCTCTGCCATTGTGGTAATTAATTGTCAGTATTCAAGGTTTCAAACCAAAAGTTGAGTAGTGTAATTAACTGTTCTAGTAAGAATAGTGTCTGAATTAATATTTATAATTGTGAGTACTATGCACTGATTAATAAATGCAACATATTTTGTAGGGAACTGATGATGTGAACCGCCATATTAAAGAGACAGTCTCACCTGCAATCCTTTTGTGTGGTACCTCTGTGTTTGATACTTTGGTTATATGTATGTTGTTGGGAAAGGAAAGTGCTGTGTGACGCTTTACGTGAATTCAAACTTTTAGACTGTCTAAATCTGTTACTTTTCGTCCAATACACGTACAATTTGGATTTATATAAAGTCCAGAGAAGTGCAATGATATTTTTAGAGAAAGAGAGAAATCAACCTTTGCAATGAACTCTAATAACCAAATCCCTCTTAGTGTTAGTCAAGTTTTTACTCTGTTGGGTCAGTGAAGGATTAAGACTTTAATGCATTCTCTTTACGTTTATGTTTGTATATAATTAGCATTTAGTGACGTATTAAATCCATTTTTTAAAAGAAGAGATAAATTTGTGTGTTTAATTACGTCCCATCTTATTTCCTGCACTGAAGGCTATGTTACACGAAACGTGAATGTTAATGTGAATGTTAGAAATAATTTACATATCATATCGTACCTAAATATTGTGATGATGTGTAACAGCTTATGACAAAATTTTTACAGAGAGTTTTGGATAGCTGAAACGACCCTTTTGAATAGCTGAAACGACCCTTTTGGATAGCTGAAACGACCCTTTTGAATAGCTGAAACGACCCTTTTGAATAGCTGAAACGACCCTTTTGAATAGCTGAAACCACCCTTTTGAACAGCTGAAACCACCCTTTTGAATAGCTGAGACAACCCTTTTGAATAGCTGAAACGACCCTTTTGAATAGCTGAAACCACCCTTTTGAATAGCTGAAACGACCCTTTTGAATAGCTGAAACCACCCTTTTGAATAGCTGAAACTACCCTTTTGAATAGCCGAAACGACCCTTCTGAATAGCTGAAACGACCCTTTCGAAGGGTAACGCTAATACCCTTTGAGGAGTTAAAACTACCCTCTGAAAAGGGTAGAATCTACCCTTTCGAAGAGTAAGCGCCGAAGGGACTGAAACGACCCTTTTGAAAGGGTAGTCCTGGGGTAAAAAAAACTACTCCTTTGAAGGGGTCAAAACTACTCTTTTGAATTTACAGTGTATATATATATATATATATATATATATATATATATATATATATATATATATATATATATATATTTATATATATATATATATTTATATATATATATTTATGTACTATTTAAAGCACGCGTAGGAGTGTTTTATCACATATAAAACACGACGCGTAGCGGAGTGTTTTATATGTGATAAAACACGACTACAAGTGCTTTAAATGGCTTAAAAAACGACTCATCTTATACGAGTTCATTGGCGAAGTAATTTTTAAAATAAAGTTTGTCTAAACCGAGAAAATCAAAGCTAAATTTTATGTAAATTAACATGATTTTTTATCACATATAAAACCACGACACGCTTATGATTTTTCTTTGTGTTTTGCTCCTGAATTATTAATGAGGTTTTTAAATATATATATATATATATATATATATATATATATATATATATATATATATATATATATATATATATATATATATATATATATATATATATATATATATATATATATATATAAATTTATATATATATATATATATATATATATGGTATGGATATAGTCTGGCTTGCCAAGTTGATGTCACTTGTCTGGAGGATCCAAAGGATACACGACGCTTAAAATATTATAGATAGGTATACAGAAGGAAAGGCGAACTCCAGACAGATCAATAATAATGTTGTTTTATTACAAACGTTTCGCCAAAACAGGCTTCATCAGTGTAAAAAGTTAAAAACACAAGGAAGTTAACTCATGCGATTTATAACCTTGCCTATGAATAATTAAGAACTAATTAAGGACTAAATGAGAATACTCTAGGGATGTTTAAAAATATGGCCTATTATTGCGAAATAATTAAATTGTTTCTAATTACTAAAGTTTATTCTGTTCTTCGACCTGAATTCACATCTCTTATTGAGACCGTAAGGTTTTAAAGTGCATAACTGCGCACTCCAGTATGCTTCTCTTGTCAACAATCGCTTCTCAATAGTGTTTGAATCACTGTCATTTACTATTTGTTCTATACCTATAAACTTCAAGTCAGACACGAAGAACAGAATAAACTTTAGTAATTAGAAACAATTTAATTATTTCGCAATAATAGGCCATATTTTTAAACATCGCTAGAGTATTCTCATTTAGTCCTTAATTAGTTCTTAATTATTCATAGGCAAGGTTATAAATCGCATGAGTTAACTTCCTTGTGTTTTTAACTTTTTACACTGATGAAGCCTGTTTTGGCGAAACGTTTGTAATAAAACAACATTATTATTGATCTGTCTGGAGTTCGCCTTTTCTTCTGTATACCTATATATATGTATATATATATATATATACATGAAGTAATTATAGGTCTGAGTGATCGCTAAGGACAATGGGACATTCGCGCTCGAAAGGAATAGCATGTGTTTAGATTTGTAAAAAGAATTGTTAATAAAAAACGTTTGAATACTCAATAATACTACATTTTGGCGACGAGGATTCGAAAACAGAACTCACATCTCATAGCAAACAACACAGGTTAAATCCGTAAACACTCTAATCCGAAAATATGGCCGTATGTTTATCGGGACTTCCAGCACCCAAAGCATTCGACACCGTGGGCGAACCTGCCACACTACAACAGAGATGGATTTTTGTGCCGTATCTGGAATTAAAGATGCCAAACAGCAACGTGCCTTGCTACTCCCCATCGCCGACACCGGAATACGAGAGATGTCAATCTTAATCGAAAATAAGCTCATTGATGCTGTAGTTGATTCTGGAGGAGCTGCAATTTAATATCACATGAAGTATTTCAATCTCTTTTTTGGGGGTAGTACCCGTCACACCATGTAGCAAACAGGTTTACCCATACCTTGCAACTAAAGCCCTAGATCTTGTAGGCAGTTGCGCTCTCAATGTATGTGGCCCACAAACCAATGCAAACAAGCATACAGAATTTTGTATTGTTCCAGATCGTGCAGCAACTCTTTTAGGCCGAGATCTATCAGAAGCATTAGGCGTTCTCAAAGTGGGAGTACCCGTCAATAGCTGCAATATAACCATGACCCCTCTGCCTGACAAGAAAGCTGTACTGAGAGCCAAGTACCCTAGAGTGTTTCAAGGTTCAGGCAAACTTAAGGGTTTTCAACTAAAACTACACATAAATCCCAATGTTAAGCCCTTAGCACAACCTATACGCAGAATTCCATTCAGTCGTAGACAGAAAGTCAATTAAAAGCTGGGGGAACTTGAGAAATTTGGTGTAATTGAGAAAGTAGATACACACACTAGCTGGATCAACCCATTAGTTGCTGTTGAAAAACCTAACGGAGACGTACGCTTATGCCTTAACATGTGTCAAGCCAACCAAGCCATTCAAAGGGAGAAACACACTGTACCCACTGTGGAAGAAACCCTCCAGGAGATGTCGACTGCCAAAGTATTCACAAAACTTGACCTTAAAATGGCTTTTCACCAAATTGAATTGAGTCCAGAATCCCGATATATTACTACCTTTGCAGCACCCAATGGCCTTTACCGATATACCCGACTTCTGTTTGGAGTCAACATGGCTCCTGAAAAGTTCCAAAATTTAATATGGCAAGTCCTTAAAGCCTGTGCTGGGACGCACAACCTTCATGATGACATACTTGTTGTTGGGAAAGACCAAAGGGAACATGATCTAAATGACTCTAAATTATGACAAGTGCATAGTAGGTGCTGACAGCATAGTCTATATGGGTGACACTCTCTCAAGTGATGGATTTCAGTTATCGAAGGAACGGGTGAAAGCCATAGCGGAAGCACCAGCCCCTAAGAACCAATCGGAGGTGAGAAGTTTCTTGGGCTCTGTACAATTTTGCGCCAAGTTCATACCACAGTTTGCCACTGTATCCGCACCCCTCTGGGACCTGACCTCCAAAAATGTCAAATGGAAATGGGGCACCAACGAAGCAGCAGCATTCTCAAGAATCAAGTGTTTGTTAACCCGAGTACCCGTTATGGCTTACTATAATCTACCTGCTGAGACAAAAGTTACAACTGACGCATCACCAGTAGCCCTAGCTAAGAGCCATCCTTGAGCAAGTCCAACTTGATGATCAGTTCTGTCCTGTGTATTATGCCAGTCGCAAGCTCTCTAAAACAGAACAACGTTACTCCCAATTTGAAAGGGAAGCTCTTGCCATAAAGTGGGCATGCGAAAAGTTCTTCCTGTTCTTGTACGGAACTCAGTTTGAAATACGAACAGATCACGAACCTTTAATCACAGTCCTAGGGCCCAACTCCAAGCCTCCATCTGCTCGAATTGAACGGTGGCTCTTGTATATATCTGCAGCAATTTAGCTATAAAGTGACACACATAAAGTGACAACTCTGCTGATGCCTGAAGCCGCCTGCCAGTTGGTCCTGCCCAACTCACCGACGCTGCCGTAACTAAAGTTTATGATTGTAGTCTAGCCAGCCAAGCTATACCATCTGCCCTAACCCCCAAAGAAGTTGAGCTTGCCTCTGAAAGAGACCCTGCCCTAAAGCTAGTGCGAGAAACAGTAACCAGTGGAGATTGGTGCAGTCTATCTGGTACAATGTACAAAGCTTTGTCTGACGAACTCTGGGTTTTAGGACAAATTTTCATGCGTGCAAACCGTATTATCCTGCCCGAAAACCTGTGGAAACAGACCTGGTCACTAGCGCACGAGGGACACCAGCGTATTACCCGCACCAAGGCACGACTACGAGAAAAAGTTTGGTGGCCAAACATGGACAAACAAGTGGAACAACTTGTTAAAGCTTGCTATCAATGTCAAGTAGTCGGACCACGAACCAAACCAGAACCCATACGAACCACAACACTACCCGAAGGTCCTTGGAACGACATTGCAGCAGATCGCCTCGAAATTCCAGGTGGTAACCACCTCTTAGTAGTGATTGATAACTTCTTCCGATGGCCCGAAGTAGTCCTCGTTAAGAAGACTGAAGCACAGCACATAATTACAGCAATGGAAGGCATATTCAGAACACATGGTCTTCCTCAATGTATCCGAACTGATAATGGACCACCCTTTGCATTGAAAGAGTTTGAAAGTTTCTTGCAACATCTCGGAATTGAACACAAGAAAGGTATCTCATACTGGCCCCAAAGCAACGCAGAAGTTGAGAGATGCAACCAGACAATCCTGAAAGCAATCCGAATTGCCATCCTTGAAGGAACGAGCTGGAAAATAGCACTGGAGAACTTTCTCTTTCAATATCGAACAACCCCCCATTCTACAACTGGTCTATCACCAGCCAAACTACTGATGGGCAGAACGCTTCGCGACAAACTGCCTCGATTAACAATTCCCGAGGACAGAGCAACCGAAGCAGAATGGCAACAACGCCTGAGAGAAAGAGATGCCCTAAATACACTTAGACAAAAAAAGTATGCTGATAAAAAAGATCTGCAGAACACAGCATTATTGAGCAGGGTGATGATGTGCTTTTAAAACAAACCCGTGAGAACAAATTGGACACCAACTTCGAACCAATGCCATACAAAGTTATTCAGAAGGAAGGCAACTCCATACTATTAGACAACCATGAAAGAGTCCGAAAGATGCGCAACATCGCACATGTAAAAAAACTGACAAAACCTTCAACTCCAGGTGATGCTGAGACATTGCCTCCAGCCAATTCGATGGTTCCTGCCTCAGCCTCTGAAACTCCAGTCGAGTCGCGTCCTTCACGCTAGACTACTCTGCCAACGCGATATAGAGACTATATACTTGTTTTAAGATATTCATAGTTAAATGAACGATGTTGAACAGTCTTGACGCTGACATTATTTGAACTTTATTTTTTTTAGAGTTGATTGTTTTATTCTTAGCAGGGGGGAGATGTAGTCTACCTTACATGAACATGCTTACATGAACACGCTTATATGAAGTAATTATAGGTCTGAGTGATCGCTAAGGACAATGGGATATTCGCGCTCGAAAGAAATAGCATGTGTTTAGATTTGTAAAAAGAATTGTTAATAAAAAACGTTTGAATACTCAATAATACTACACTCATGCAGACAAAAAAGTAAAAGCATACAGTTGTCTTATAATTCTGTGCTGTAGACTCTCCTCATTCTCTAACAATTTTTGTACCTTACACTCACTCCTTCCTACAATGTTTAATATAAACGATCAATATTTTTAAATAAAATCAGTAGCATACAAACAGTCTATAAAAAGTCTTAGAATGAATAAAATGGACATTCAATGTGAGTATTTGGCTTGCGTCCAAATGCCCTTTGCCTTCAATTTGGCTTGCCGAAAGGCCTCCAAGGCGCTACGACCTATAAAGGTCTTAGGTCTTTGAAATTAACAAGTAAATCAATGCAAAGTTTATACCGTTTCAAGATAAAAGATTATAAATAATGTGAACCAAACTCAGAGCAGAAACGTGTGAAATGAAAATGCCTTTTACAAGTGTGCCCGGAGAGAACATAAGAACAATAGAGCATCTGATCATACATTTATATTGCTTGATGTTGCTGTAAAAATCTGTTTAGCCTTTTTTTTCAATTAAGAGCAAGCAGAAATCAAATTTAGCAAATATTTTGACGAATATATGATTCTCAAAGTTGATCGGTACAGAACACTCACTCTTTGCGATCGAATTGTAAAGTGCGGAAGTGGAAGCATGTAATATGATACTCCCCCCTTTAGGCAATCAATTTTCTGGGAGTCACGTGACCAGCGGTAACCAGGGTTTTTCCTCGCCTCAAGCGTGATAAAAACCCTGGCTTGCGAGGTTGCATGTCATAATCAGTAATTGCTTAAACATCTTTGCCAATTTTACATGTAATAATCCAGGCTTAGTTGACCATTGACCAACGCAGTAAAACAGTTGTATATCAAACGTAATTTATATATCTATTTACAGTTATTCAGTACGGTTGATAAATTAATCCATCGAAAGCCAGAAAAATGCTATCCAGCTACGTCATTAACGACTGAACTCGTGAACAAATTTGCAGATTTCTTCAGTAAGAAGATCGCTACAATACGAAAATTTAAGAGCTAACCATTGATTCTTCCCATTGTAATCAGCTAAATTAAGAGGAACAATATGTACAGTGCGTTTATTAACTTTCAAGAAGTCACGGAACATGAGATTAAAAATATTATTGATAAAGTTGGTAAAACTTGATCCAGTTCTCGCAAAAATCTCTCAAGGTTGTCAGAAGACTCTTTTAGCTATAATAACTAAAATCAGTAATGAGTCACTTCATTCAGGTTGTATGCCTGAGAAACTAAAAGAAGCCGTGTTGAAACCGAAACTAAAGAAAATATCGCTGGAGTGCGAAGAATACACAAATTTCCGACCTATTTCAAACTTAAAATACCTGTCTAAAGTAATTGAGAAGGTTGCTGCCGGTCAGCTTCTGGAACATTTGGCTAATAACAACCTAGAAGAACCTTTCCAGTCGGTATATATACGTTTTCATAGGCCTGAAACATCCCTATTTAAAAGTACAAAACGATATTTATGTAGCCGTTGATAATCGTAAGTGTGTTATGTTGCTATTATTAGATATGTCAGCAGCATTCGATACTGTTGATCACGAACTTTTATTACAAGGAATGTTTAAAAAATTTAAGATAGATGTGCAAGTGTTGAAACGATTTTGGTCCTATCTTCAAAATAGAACGCAAAGTGTAGTAACTGAAGCTGTTAAAACATGGGCTGTGGAGTCCGACAAGGATCAGTTCTGGGCCCTATACTATATTTACTATACACTTCACCCCTTCGTGATATCATCAGAGGTCATGATTTTGATTTTCACTTTTACGCAGATGACTCACAATTGTTTTTCTCGATTGTGAGTCAACCAGTGAAGAAAAATTGGGAGTTTATTATTTACAGTAATTATTAAATGGAAATAATCATGCAGAAGAAAGTTTTATATGGTGTACAAGATATTTATGAAGGTATGAATACTGTAGTGTTTACAATATTAAGATAAAGAGATAAACTAGTTAGATTTTTATGTAGTATTATTTTGTATAATGACAATGCATGGACATTGTCTGCATAAAGAAAGTGTGATTTCTGAATCTATGTATTTGTAACTGAATTTTGTTTGAAGTGTTGCTTAATTAGTTTCTTGAAGGTATTATACAAACTTATGTCTTTTGTTACGTTTCTCGTAATATTATGTTGATGAATTTGGTTGTTTGTAACGAGGTAGTTAGTAATATATTCTGGTAAATTTTTAAGATGATGATATCGAAACATAACTATATCTGGGCTCTGCTCTTTATCTCCAAACTAAGATTTCCGCCTGCAGGTGCATCAATTGCCACAGTTATAAACAAAGTAGTTAAATAATTGTTGATTTTAAAAATATCTAGTACATGTAATTCTTTGAATATAGCCTTCCAAGTACGAGTTAAATGCCATTAGACGTACAATTTTTTTCAGGATATTCAACATACAAAAACCGAATTAATAAAATAACCCCAAATTAAATTGCAATAAATCAGATATGTATAGACTAATGCATAATAAATTAGTCTAATAGCATTTTGATTTAAGAAATGTCTAATTTTACCTATTATTCCGGACGCCTTCAAGAGTTTTTTGAAACATTAGTTATATGACCATTCCATGTCAGACATTCATCAATGATGATACCAAGAAATGTTGCACTTGTTCAACATTTACATCGTTCATAATAATTTGAATTTCATGCTTTGCTCTTTTGTTATACTGTAAAATCTAAATAAAACGAATTTTGTCTTTCGGATATTTAGAAATAACTTATTGTAGTTTGTAAGATTGCACTAAGCGATTTAAGACAGCTGCTGCTACAAAATATATTAGTGTCGTCAGAAAATAATATGAATGAAAGTAATTTGCTGCACTGTTCAATATCATTTATGTAAAGCAAAAATATAATTTTCCCAAGAATTGATCCCTGTGGAAACCCACTTTTAATCACCATTTCATTTGACCTAACTTGATCATATTTCACTATTTGTTTTCTATTTTCCAAATAATCTTGAAACCATAGTTGTGTCATTCCCCGTATACCATAGTGTTCCAGTTTTTGAATCAGAATCTTGTGATTAATAGTGTCAAAGGCCTTTGACAAGTCAAGAAAGATTCAAATAGTATATTCGCCCTTATAGGCTGCTTTACTAACTCTGTCAACAAGCTCAATGACTGCATGCTCAATGGATCTATTTTCTCTAAAACCGTACTGACTATGTGTTAACAATTTATGTTTTTCAATGAACTTAATTAATCTCCTATACAGTTTTTCTAGTGATTTAGAAAAACAAGCGAGTACAGAAATTGGTCGATAATTTTTGAATTCATTTTTTTATTTGCTTTGAAAATTGGGGTAACTAAAGCTATTTTTAGGTCATTAGGAATAGTTCCACTAAGGAAAGTCAAGTAGAATATGTGTGGCAAGGGTTCAGAAATTTCCATAGCAATTGTCTTAATAACTTGTAAATTTATAACTAAATAGCCTGAACATTTTTTAGAATCTAAGTTTTGTATTTCAATTTCGATTGTATGTATGGTTACAGGCTTAATAAAAAAATATTATTATTCCTATATTAGTCAGATATTTTTCAAAGGTTTTTTCACTATCTGGAAGTTTTTTTGCTAGACCTGGTCCAATATTTACAAAATACTCGTTGAATTTATTTGCTATTTTTCATGGATCATTAATGATTTCATCTGAAGAGTCTCCGTTGAATTCCTTTGGTAAAATTCTATTGTTTCTATGTTTATTCATAATTTCATTAATTGTTTTCCATAAACATTTTGTATTATGCTTGTATTTTATTAGTTGTTCTTCATAATAATTCTGTTTTGCTATTTTTATTACATGATTTAATTTACTCTTATATTTTTTGTACATGGCGGCTGAAGACTGACGCCAATTGAACAGTCTATTTATAGCCACATATGTTATTAATTTATGCACAACACTTATTTGCAGGTGCCACTTAATCAGCCGATCAAAGTTGAGATTAGGATTTCGTAAATAATAATAAAAAATATTAATAGCAAATACTAATAGCACCTTTATACAGTAAGTACCGCCGTACCTTGTTGCCTTTGTCGAGAGATTCTTGGTCGCTACCCGACTGTGTCCTTCCTGGAGCTAGATCAGGTTGAAAAATATAAAAAAATACAAAAATTAGTCGACTGGTTCGTAGTACTGTGAACAAATTATAAGTTATGGAATTAACATCCTTCTATAGTTCAAACATCCCGAAATGTTTAATAGACCTACCCATGCATGCTCCCTCGGACTCAGAGTTGCTAACTGATATTGGTGAATTCCTTCCAGACCGACCAGAGCTTTGAGGAAAATCCCTAAGAAAAATAAATCAAAATGCTGACACAAACCTTACCTCAGGAATTGGTAAATTATCCCCTTACCCCATAGAAAATTCGCAGAGATCAAAGTTTTCCGACAGGTTTTGCCCCCCAGAAACGACTTCGAAGTCACCCTTCAGAAAAATTCATTCATGGGGAGGTAGAAATTAAATGGAATGGCCCAGAGCCAGTGCGACATAATTCAGTGTTCAACAATGGAGATTTGTTCCTTCTATATTCGTCGTCAAGGCAACGACCTGCATTTAGAGGTTTTAGCTGCCGCGCACCCGCAGTATTATTGCATGATGTAAAGCTGGATAAATTGGGCTAAACCGCTAAAGTGACTTAAATGTTTTATAAATATAAACGTAGTATTTCTCCTTTAATTAACCAACGTTTAACCATGTCATTTAAATATGCAGTATAAATTAGGTACATTTTCAAACATTTACACTTTTAAATAAAAATATTTGTAGGTTAGATCTCGTCAAATGATCTTTAAGTACTGTTTAATAAACGAGCAGGAGTATTTTATTAGTTTTTAAGTCACGAGCGCGCAGCCCGAGTGGCTTTAGACCTAATAAAACCCGACCTGGGAGTTTATTATACTGATAGATATATACTGCCTTATTAGTATTCATTATATAAAGAATACTAATGAGGACACGACTACAATAGATACTGCCTTATTAGTATTCTTTATATAAAGAACTCTAATTAGGAGTGTTTTTTCAGGTTTAAAGCCACTGCACGTGACATATTACGGTTGACATGATTTGCCAATAAGCTAATGAATTATTAATGCTGAGTGTTTGAAATACTATTTAAAACACGAGTAGGAGTGTTTTATCAGATATAAAACGCGAGGCGCAGACGAGCGTTTTATATCTGATAAAACACCACAACGAGTGTTTTGAATAGCTTAAAATATCACTACAAAAGAATACTAATTAGGATGAACAATTATATAATCATACTAATTAGGATGAACAATTATATAAAGAATACTAATGAAGATGAAATTTATCAGATATAAAGTGACTCCACGTGCCATATTATGTCTGACATGATTTGCCACAAGGTTTATGAATTATTAATGAGTATTTTAAGTACTAGTTAAAATATGAGCAGCTGATCTTTATGGGCATTTACAATGGCGAGCGCGCAGCGCGAGCCATTGTTAAATGCCCATAAGGATCAGTTGCGAATATTAAAACGTACTTGTAAAATGAAATTATTTGTTTATTTTATTAGTATTCTCTGCCCATGGGGACAATCTCACGCTTCATTAGCATGCTACTAAAACTTAAATCAGTATTGTTAACTTTCATAAACATCCATGCTTCTCAATTAGTATTGTGAACATTCATAAACATCCCTCTAGCACGACTTTCTGATCTTTAATGCGGTTTACAAGTGTGCGCATGTGACCTAAATGCCGCATCGTGATTTATATGTGGCCTTATTAATTATTCATGAACTTTACAAGGGTATTTAATTTGCGAGTATAAATCTGAGTGAAGTGACTGAATAATTATTTTACCTTTAAATCGCCTGTTAAATGTGTTATAAATATGAAAGTCGTATTTATTCTTTATCAAAGTTTAACCATATGATGAAAAGATGTAAAGGAACCTTTTCAAAGATTTACACTTTTGAATAAAACGATTGCATTTCCTATGATCTTAAAGAGGTTTAATTCCTGAGTGTAAAACTCTATAAAAGTTGTGTCTTTAAATTTTATGTTAAAGGGTCAATTAAACATCAATAGTCTTAAATATATTTTCGTCCATCTTTACTTGCATTTAACAATCGTTTTAAATGGTGTAACGCGCCCTTTTATAAATTTACACTTTCGGTTAAAGCCAATTAAAAATCGAATTTTGCCCTGTGAATGCTACAATCTTGGACATAACTGGTTGAGACTATTTTCACCTTATAGAAAATTCACATATTTTTATGACAAACTCCATGTTGAATCATGTTTCCCTTCTTAAGCGCCCCCCCCCCCCCCCTCCCCAACTCAATGTTGATCTTGTGTCATGGTATATTACCAAAGGTTGTTTCGGCGTTGTTTACAAGATTGAACTGAAGGGAGGGAGTGGGGAAGGAGGGGACAAAGTTTGTTCTGTCAATGTTCAATAACTTTGTAATATTAGCTGGAATGGTCTCAAGACAATCTTGCTCTGAAATACACTGAATTTAATTGTGCGTGATAACTCAATCTTTTTTTAATTTTCTCCCTCTTCAGTTGTCTGAAAGGGTATATGATATATCGAACTAACGTACCATGACGTCATAATTTTTAAAATACCGGAAGTGCAATTAATTCGGTTTTAAAATATTTAATTACAGGAATGGCGATGACACAGGAGTGAACGAATACGATATTAGACCATATCTTACGTATTTCAAATTGTCATTTGTCAATATGTATCTGTGTTTAGCTTCAATTGATTTACCTTAATATGATGAACGACAGATATTAATTACTAAATTGCTATGCTTACAGGATTTATAAGGAAACGGTCATAAAGTACAGGGGGCTGAAAAAAAAACAGGAAGTGGGTTATCGAATTTTGAACATCTAAAAGGGGGTGGGTTATTGAAAATTTAACAACAGTTTGGGGGTGGGTCATAGTAAAATGTACTTGATTTATATAGGTTTCAAAAGCTAGAGAACATTATTAAATATTATCTTTTATTTTTACAAAACATGGCTGCAAAAATGTCAATGAAGAAATACAATATGTATTAAACACAAGGTCCCGGAGAGTATATATATTTGGATTTAATCCCGGTTAATTTATCACGGTTTTATCAGAGACAAATAAAAGTTATCATTAATATTTTATAACTATTAAGTTATCATTAACTAGGGTACCTGCAAGGAACTAAATAGTACAAATTATAAAAGCACAGTTGTTACTTAATTGCAGTGAGCGAGCGACTGGTGAGCACTGTGGCCGGAGCTTAAAGATACGGAATCGATTCATGCCATGAGTGTAACTGAGAAAAAGCATTGCATTTGTTGCCAAGACCAGGGGTTAAAGGGCAATCTAAGGTGACAGATATAATAATAATAATAAAAACAAAAAATTTAAAAAATGAAATATTAAAGAAATATTAAATAACTAATATTCACTAAATCATAAGCAAGAACATATTATATTTCGAAGTGGAATATGTTCAATTACGCGGTGCTTAAGTACACGTATAAATTCAAACGACAAAGCATTCTTAGGACATACAGCCAGAATATATAATATTTCCAAGACCAAGTAGAATCTGCTCAATTACGCGCTTTTTAGCACGCGTATAAATTACAAACGACAAAGCATTCTTAAGACGTACAGGTAAATTATATAACACAAGTTTTTGCTAGAGGATTTCATATTAAGTCTAATAGTAATACTGCTAGGCGCATTTACCACATTATATACACAGTGTTAAACTAAGAAACCAAAACTTTATAATAATATAGACTTACAGTAGTCAGTGGCCAAAGTCCATTGAGTGAATTACAATGCACAAAGTGCAGTCACGTTATTTCATACACTAAATTATGCCCTTTACAGGGCCTAAAACTTTACTAAACCATACGCCGAGTGCCTGAGTCAAAATAATTTACATGTCGAAGCAAGCAGAACGATAAACGATATCTTTCAAAACGCCTCAAATACTTAAAAAAATAAGCAGAAACTCGACGTTTCGAGCGAAGGCCGATCGTCAAGAGTTAGCAGCCAAGTAGTTGGCTACTAACTCTTGACGAAGGACCTTAATTCGCTCGAAACGTCGAGTTTCTGCTTATTACTTTTTAAGGTAGTAGGCCTAATATAACCACTCAGCACAGCATTTTATCATTTTTATGCTCGCGGGTAAAGGTCCCTGGCTTTGTCTACAATTAGCAAGGATTAAAATTTTGACTATACAAAAGATTATATACTCCAATGTAATTTACAATGCATGCAACAACAATAACAACAACAACAACAACAACAACAACAACATGTACAACAACAACAACAACAACAAAGTCCTCTTAGAGATTTTCAAAAATCTTTGCCTGCCACTGCCAGGAAATTAAAAACCTAAATTTATAAAGATAGCAAGAAGCTCAATTCATACTTTTTAATTAAAAAACGCACGTACCTTATAAATCATGTAAGCATAGCAATTTAGTAATAAATGTCGTTCATCATATTAAGGTAGATTAATTGAAGCTAAAGACAGATACATATTGACAAATTACAATATAAAATAGGTAAGATATGGTCATATATTAATAATATCGTATTCGTTCACTCCTGTTCATCGCCATTCCTGTAATAATTTTTAAAATATTTTAAAACCGGTTAGGCCCGGTTTAGACGCCGTGCTTTTCATGAGCCGAACTTAATTCATATTTTACTCGAGTAAAATAGGCGTACTTCCAATTTTGATTTAGACAGGCGTGTTTTCATGAGCCGTACTTAATAACTTGTGCTGCTTCACTTCGAAACCTGGGGCGAGTAACATTTCATAATAAGGAAAAAGGGTTTATCACATACAATCTTGGCATTTCTGAGCGCCTACAGGTTTGCGGTTATTAAAAATTTCAATTGCTCTTTGAAAAGCCTTATTACTACGAACATAGCATAATGCCTGGATATAATGTGTGGGAAAAAGAGACCTATAGGCTTAGGGCGAGTTTTCCACGTTATTCGAGTTCTCCCAAACTACTACAAGTGTTTCTATAACTGTATGGGTCACACATAATGTTTTATATTTACTTCATAATATAACTAAAAAAAGATTTGTAGTAGACTCGATATATTTACAAATTCTCATTGCGTAATAATGTCGACCTTTGCTCCATCAATTTACTGCAAGAAACCCTTTTTGCATTTATCAGCAAATATCGCTATAAGCCTAATTTCGCAACTTTTATGCAAAGAGTCTAACGAAAGGTGTATCTTTTGCTACAAATTGACGTATATAAAGAAAAAAAAGGGAAATTCTACCGCACTGTTAATTTCAAGGAGTTATTTTAACTCCACCATAGGAGTTAAAACTACTCAACTCGG